AAACCTTCTGTGTTTGAATAACACTTGCTTTATTAGTTTGCTTTCCACTCTGAACTTTGGAGTTTGAGGAAAGCAGAACACTTCCTAGTTTAACATAAGACATGTTGTGTTGCTATGCTTTAAAGATTGAGTTTCCTCTTTTTTCTAAATTTGTGTTAATTTGTTGAAGTGGTATTTTTTGACCTTATAAAATGTAAGGAGCTAAAATTATTTGGGAGAGGTGCAAAAGAAGAGCTATTTCAGAAGCCTATTCTGATTCTCTACCCATAGTAAAATGCTAGTATGTGTCTGAAGTCTAACGCTTCTCCTGGTAATGTTTGGCAACTGCTCATAAGAGCAGTCTTAGTGTGGTTGTTTTTTTATTTCCTATGTATACACAGTAGCTTGTAGTGAATACTGTGTGTATATGATTTTAATCTAATTTTTACAATGCACAGCAAATGCACTTTTGGGCCATTTTCCCTAATAGAACAGAGACAGCTGTTGCTTCTATGTTTTGTAATACAGTGCAAAAAAGCATGTGTGCAAATACTGTTACTAAAAATATTTCCATAAATATTCTTAAGAACAGGTAGCTTTTATAATTTTTAGGCTTTTTGATCACTAATAAGAGTACTAGAATGAAACTAATATTATTCTAGTGAAACTGAATAATCTACTGAGAAGCTTTCCCAAAACATTTGTGTCTCTTCTTAAATATGAATTAAATTGGCATGACTTGCAGGAGCACCTTTCAACATTCAGGTCTATTCTAACCAGCATTTAAGTAGGCAGGAGTAGTTATTGTAGGCAGGAGTAATATGGCTATTTTGTTGTAATTTGTTGGGCTTTTTATTTTTTTGTTTAAGTAGTGAAAACTCCAAAGATAAATTCTGGTAGGTCACATCCTTTTACCTAAAATAATGAAGACTCTTATTTTCAGAGCTGATAGAAAATGTGTCTGAGGTGTGTATCACAAATATGATTGTTTTAATTCTTTTGGAGGGGGACTTTGTCGAAAGAAGGGAACAACATGAAAATGTTGGTTATTTCAGCAATCGTTGCATCACTTACAAACAGAATTAATTAAAATTACATTGGCTGGAAAAATTACCAATAAAAGAGCTTTCAACTGAGCCAGTTGAAAAAGTGACTAGATGTTAAGGAAAGGTTCAGCCATTTGTAGATTTCGCTAATCCTTGTGGCACATTTATGCAGCTCTTGAAAATTGACACAGCCAAGGAGTATTCAAACTGTAATGGGGTACTCGCGTAGAAATACAAAAAACATTTCCAAAGCACGCAAAGACGATCTATATAGAAGGAATTGCTGTATGATTTGACGTCTTAATATCAAAGCAGAGAGATTTAGCCTGCTGGTTCAAAGTGGTTTCTACCTGAATTAGAGAAATATGGAGCTGGAATATAATGCAAAACTGCTTGTCTGTTTTGAGCATTGAATAATTGCAGACAGGAAAATAAAGGCAGGATTTTTTTATTAAGAAGTTTGAAATATGGAGTTCTGGAATAACACTTTGGACAATAGTTTGTTTGTTCGGTATTTTTCTGGCATTTTAAGGTTTCTGAGAGACAATGTTTTGCAATTATTCTTGACACATACACAGTGTGTCACTGGCTGAAGTCAGACCTTGATCCTAGACTTAGAAAAGTTACAGATCTATTAGCTGACATTGAAAATTCTTGGGTTGTAAAATTACTGAAAAGTTGTTTTCGAGATCATGTTTTCTTATAGCAGTGCTTCTACTATTGTTTCTTACTCTGGTAGCAGTACATTAGCTGGATAACGTATTTGCTTTAAAAAGAAAAAAAGATCTGATGGAAAGCATTAGATTATCCTCTCACAGAACACATATTTGTAAAACAGATTTTGGAAATGTTACTGTTTCTGTTTGGGGTTTAGTCTGCTTATGGCTTGGTGGATGAGGAGGAGAAAAGTACTTTGCAGGGAGGAACATTCTTGTTTCTGCAGAAGCTGCTAACTTGGAGGTATATGTTGTAGTGCACAGTCTCTTGAATCCTTTGGGTGAGTGGTGCTTAATTCTTTGTGTCATCGCACTGAGAAACTAACTGCTTATGGGTTAATTGGGATCATTCTTGTTTCTGCTGCTGCAGCTTTACAGTTCCTTAAAATTGCATTGGAATTTTGCTTTTTCATCTATAAAATCAAATTCTCTGTACATTCAGAAATAGATTGTGGCATTACAGCGGTTCTGTTAAAAATGACACCTTAGAATGTTAGGAAGAACATAGAGCTGCAGAAAGGTTCAGAGGTGGCTTTTATAGCAAGGAGGAACTCTTGCTAAAGGATTCTCAAATGTGTATGAGTGGTGAATTAAGTGAAGGAATGAATGTTATGGAAGATCTGAATAGTGTTTATTACTCTCTCTCCCCTCTGATGCAAGGATACATGTTTTAACTTTGTAGCATAAGGAGATGGTAAGTTGTTCTTAGAACTCCATTAGAATGTGAGCTTGATAGACTATTTTCAAGGCTGGCCAATTGTTGCATGGTAGAGGTCTCAAACCTGTTTTGAGGAGGAGGCTTGGAAGTATATGTTCAGATAAAAAAAAATCTTATATTAATAATTAATTCTTAATTTAATGTTAAGTTTTGTAGAATAAGAATTTATCACTCTTACAAATATAGTTGCATATTCTAAGAACTGTCAAGAAAGCTTTTGAACCAAGAATGCTGATGTAGTACAGTGAAATACCTTAGACATGTTGGGAGTAGGTGAGAACTTTGCATCTGTGACTGAAGCATGTGGGAGGATTTGGTAAGAGATTAGATTCTGGACAAAAGAAAGAAGGGTGTATTCAGAAGAGGAATTACTGAGGCCTTATTAGCTCAAGTGAATTGAGGTTATGTGGTAAATAAATGCAGATTGGTTAACAGTTGTAATTGCATATGCAGCTGATAAATTGCTGCAGTTGCATTTTGCATACTTGCCTCTCAAGGCCCCAGTCGTGCTAAACTAAATAGCATCATATATAAAATGTACTTCAGGTTTTTGGTTAACGATAACAATCACTAACTTCAGAGGGATTTCATGGAAATCCTATAGTGTGAGTTAAAATAAGGAGTTTTAAAAATTGCTAAATATTCGTGATAGATATTTGAAAAGGTGGTTGGTATTCTTGGTCATTGTAACCACTATGTATTTGTATATCTCATTTGGCTTGCTTAACAAACTCAAGGTGTAATTTATGTAAATATGAAGTTGCCCAAATGTGAGATTGATTTTACACTGGGATTGTGATGCTGGAAAAGTCTAACCACCATGATAGCCTCCACTTAATTGCTGGACTGCCCTAGCATATCTAGACTTTCAGGTGACAATTTTCAGTTTGTGTCTTTGCAGGTATGGAAGTGGTGCATATGTGTTTGTTTCATGACTTTCATCAGTGCTAAAGTAGGTTACTTGGGTATACTGAAATCTACACACTCTTGTGTCTTGTGTTTGCATCTGCCTTCCAATCTAAAACCACTGCTCAATCAAGATTTCATGTATGCTGAATAGCATCGACCCTGGAGTCTGTAATTATCCTTGTCTGGATAACTAACGATCAAACTGGGTGTTTAATCCTATTTTAGGCTGTTTAGATTAAATGTTTAGTGTCCTGGGTGTGTTTGATTGAGTTAATGAATGAAATACGTAAAACTTTTTAAAGTTGGTAGCTTGATAATCCAGTAAACAATGGCTGTGAATTTGGACCTATAGAATGAAATCATGAAGAGCTGTAGGGCTCGGTATGCAAGAGTCTTCAACATCTGCTTCTCTCAGCTTTAATTATTCTTATATCTGAATAGAGTATTTGGATGTCTGTGAAAACCTGTCCCTGTGTTTGGGTGGTTTTGGTTTGGTTTGATTTTTTTTTTTTCATTTGCTGTATCAGAAGAAGCTGTAGAGCTTATTGGGTTGGTAACATGCTTAATTTTTTTCTGAGCTGAGGCACATGGACAAACTTGCTTGCAAAGTTGCAGAGAGTAAGCCTTCTTCATTTAGAAAGTGTTTTCATTGTTCTGCTGTTTTATACATCATTTGTTGGTTGTAACTGTAGCAATGTGGATCTTACCATTGCTATGTGTAGGAGCAGAGAAAGGGTAATCGTTTCTTCTTCAAACTTCCTTTCAAAACTAAGGTGAAAAAGATCAACATTTGTCTGCTGACAAGAGACAGCTACTGAAGTTCATGCAGTTAATAAAAATCACATTCTTTTACAAGTAGTTTTTTTCTTAGAAATTATTTTTTTTGTTTCTTATCCATATTCACTTACACTTGACTAAGGTTGGGAATCCTGTCTTATAAATTGGTCCTTAGTTTCCATTGTATTCTCCATTTCTCCTAAATGAGAAAGCTTGCCATGAATTTGATCTAATATGTCAACCTTTATATTTCTCCTATATTTCCTGTTTATAACTAAATTGTAAATATAACTCTAACTGATCAGTTTGAGCATGGTTGTGGATCAGCAATCAAGATATTGTCAATCAATCTACTCTTGGGTGGGCAACTCTTGATATTTTGTGAATACCTATATGCATGGGAGTGCATTACGTCTCAGTGTGTCAATCTCACTCTTGTTAAAAGAAAATGCTGAGCTGTAGACCTTTGTTTTATGTATTAGTGGTGAGTAAAAAAGGGGTTTTCCTTTTTTAAATTGTCCACTAAAATGCAAAACCATCAAATTATTTCAAAGCAATTGAGTTATTAAATCAAGAGTACAGCAAATGGCAAGCACAGTTTTGTTTGTAAAGAAATAGCTGTGAAATTTGTTGACATACAAAAATCTGGTTTAACCTAAATGCTGCTATACTGCATTGTCAAATGCAGAGTTAGGGCAAAGGTTAATAGATGTCTCTGTTATTTGTCTTATTATGGACCTTGTTTTTATCTTAACTATTGCAGTTTTGTCAGAAAGCTACAATATTGGTATACCTATTTAGTATTTTCAGACCCTAGAGTGAATTAATTTTTATCTTTTTTTTTTTTTTTGACAGTCAAGGATCCCTTTAGTGAAGAACTCCAAAAAATACAAGTAAGTAAAACCACTTAACATTGAGATTTTAATCTGTCACATGATTGTATGAAAACAATATAGATCTGTTCAGAAAGATGCAGTTTTAGTGTAATTTCCAGGAAGTAAATGCACTTCTTGTAACCGATGTTCTAATTTTTTTTTTACCTTGGGCAGTATAAATAGGATTACAAGATTTGGCTGTGGCATGCTGGTTGCTTCATACACAATGAAAATAGTACATAGTTTGTGTTGTAAAAAGAAAAGAGAAGAGTGTTGCAAATTTTGAGATTAAATTTAACAGTTTTTCACTTACTGGTACTATTCGGCTTTTCAACCTTGAAAGCACAGCTGGTAAGAGATGATTGACATGAAACCTGAGGATCTTATTTAGTGTTATAGAAGAGCAAGGGTTAAAGTCCTTCAAAATGGAATTTAAAATTTATCTCTTGATTCCATTCTGTTACTTGTTCCTGTATTTACTTTTTTGTCTGAAGTATCAGACTAACAATTTTTTAGATGTCGCCATCGAAGCTATCTGTATTATTCTTAGTGGTGCAGCATGCGTTCAGGTGGTTCTCTCTTCTGACTTGAATTGTAAACATAGTGATCTGCTTTAGCTAGGCATATATAAGCAAGTATTGCAAGACAACTGTCTAGGATTTGGGGAGATGTTTTTTTGGTTTACTGTCTGGGATTTGGTTTTTTGTTTGGTGGATTGGTGGGCTTTTGTGTCTAGGATTGAACTCTCCAAAAGTGAGTAATTGCATATTAAGCAGGTGGCCTTGGCTGGTTTCTTAGATAGAAGATGTTTCTGAATCTCTTGATCAAATTAAATTTCTTGAGGCAGATTCTGGGGATTCTTTCAAAATGACTTCACTAGTGTGGAGAGAATGCATTTTGTTCACTGGACTCAGCCTGAGAACCTGTTCTATATGTTACTTCTGTTTCTGCTGCACTGTTCCATAGTAATCCTATTGCATGCTTGATTGTTTGTTAGCTACAAAGGTTATACTGTTCAGTTGCTTCTTTTATGTGGTCCAACTTTTTATTAGAAAGAAAAATGGTCACAGTAATATTTTTCATGTTCTACTCACTGTAGCTATTAGTGAAGTCATGGGTGTACCTGCTGGCAATAAATGGAACTTGAAGTACTGCTGGTGGTGTGTGTGTGTGCTGGAGGACTGATTTTCCTCTTCTGCCATTCACAGTGTTTTCTGGCCAGGAAAAGTATTAGTAAGATTGGTTAGTTGCCATTGATGTAGTTGAGGAGTATCAATTACATCAACTTACTCTCAGTGATGGTTTTGTAGTACCAGAATAGGGAGAGGTGATGCTGGTAATTGTTGATAGTGCTGTTGGGAAATAATTTGTCTATTGTTTGATCAATGAAAGAAGTATTTTGCTTTATTGGTAGCAATTTTCTTACAGGAAAAAAAAATTGGACTATTCGCATTTTAAAATTATGTCATAGTGCTGGTGCATCAGGGAATTAAGCCTAACATAGCTACTTTTTTTTTTCAAAATAAGTATAACCAGCATATGCACAAATTGGAAGAATACTTTTTTGAGTGTTTTTTTTTAAATGAAGGCTCTAGTCTTAGCCATTTGATAAAACTTCAACATTTCAGAATAGCCTTTAGCGCACGTAATTCTTTGTGTATGTAATTGCATGCTCTTTCTCTTTTTGTTTCAAATAATTCCTTCTAATATAAAATGGTCCTGGTTACATTTGAATAAAATTACTTGATATCTTGATAAGTTTAACTCCCCTGTAAGTAGCAAATTATATGACATCTCATATTCATGCTTATTTTTGGAATTAGGCCTTTTTGTATTTTGGTGTATGCAAGAGGTATCAACAAAATAGTTCACAGCTTTCTGGTGTGCTTGTTTTGGCTTTTTGTTTGGTGAGGGTGGTTTATTTGGTTGCTTTTTTTATTAAATTACTGTAGTTTGAAGGTATACAACAAAAATCTTCCTTTGCTCTGGAATGTAACCAGATGGTACTTTTGTGTGGCTTGTATAAAATGTCACATCACATTTATAAAGAACAAAATTTTTATTTTTACACAGTAGCTATCAAAAATCCACCCCAAACAAAGCAGATTTCTTTTGAGTCATTTCACTACTTTCTCTGTACTATCAAAATACTACAGAGAGTCTCTTGGTTGTAACTGGCAGATCCATCAGAGTCCAAGCTGCAATCTAGTTTAGCTTCAGTCAAGATCTAAAAATTCAGTGTATACTTGGATTCAAAATCTATTGCCTGCATCATTTTTGGTGTGTGAGACGTTACAGCTTCCTACCTGTATGTGTAAACCCTGGATTTTTTTCTCATGGTATGTGAAGATTCTGGGAATAAAGGGAAAAAACTATATCTCTACTACTGCTGTTTTAACATAAATATGTTTTTCTCATTCTAGGAAGAGGAAATAAGTCTCATGATGAAGAGCTTGTATGCACTTCATGATAAATTGGCACAAGTAGCAGGTAACACTTAAAAAATATTGTGATGTAACATTATGGCAACAGCTACAAAAAAGTCCATGCTCAGATAGTGATTTGTAGTACTGGGTCCCTGATAGCCACTTGGAGCTCCATTTTGAGAAACTTGAAATCCTGTTTCTAGTTCACTTACGCTGTCTTTTCCCACCAGTGTTGTGCCTTTTGTTGCAATGTTTGCTAACGCGATAGGCACTTGAATATTGTGATCCTGTGTGGTTTTTGACCCGATGCCTTAATACTTTAGTAATCTCATTTTGTAAAAGGCTGAAATTAAATTTGCTGTATGTGAAGAGGACTATGTGGGTTTCTTAAGGGTCATTAATTCACAGTGGTGAGAATTTTGTGACAGTGATAAAATGGTTACTAATAAAGTGAACAGTAGTGGTTGAACAAGATTGCATTGTTAGACAGAATGTCCAGCTTAACCATATGACTTATACAGTAATGAAAAGTGCTGCATATAGTAATGTGTCAGATTTGGTGTTTAGGGGTAGTATAATTGAATATTCAAAGTAAAAAATAGGGTGGTTTTATCTAGAGTTGTAAGGATCACAGCTTTAAACTGCACACATAGGAAACGGTGGAAGTTAAGGCTGTGATTGTAACTTTGGCATCTGGTAACTGAGAGTTACAACTGAGTCAGTGTCATGACTATTAAACAATTTTTATCATCCTTGCATATTTAACCCATCATGTGTTCAGGAGGTCTTACTGATCTTTGCCAACTATTTATTTGGCATCAGCAAGTTTTACCTAGAAGGCTTTTCCATTACTATCAGGTGCTACAGACATTTCACAAACATGAAAAAATGTGGAAACAGCTCTGTGTCAGATATGAAGCTGACAGTGTAATATGTCAAGGCTGTATGGGAAATGTGTGAGAAATTTGAGCAGCTCTGTAATACCCTTTAAATTGCAGCAGTAATCTATGCTCATGCAGAAACATTTTGTTTCCACAGCATTTGCAGTGTCTGCTGTGAATAAAATAGGTGTTTGGACAAACCCCACATATTTTGGTTTGTTTACATCAGAGAATCCCGGAATGGGTCAAGTTGGAAGGAATCACAGTGGGTCATTTGGACCAACCTCCTTGCTTAAGCAGGATCATCCCAGAGCACATGGTGTAGGATTGCATCCAAATGGTTCTTGAATATCTCCAGCAAAGGAAGCATTCCACATGCTTTTTGGACAATCTGTTCCAGTGCTCAGTCACCCACACAGTAAAAAATTCTTCCTCATGGTCAGGTGGAAGTTCCGTGCATCAGTCTCTGCCTGTTGTCTCTTGTCCTGTTGCTGGGTACCACCAAGAAGAGCCCAGATCCATCCTCTTAACATCCCCCTTCAGATAATTACAGGCATTGATGAGGTCCCCTCTCAGTTGTCTCTTCTCATGGCTGAGCAGGTCCATTTCCCTCAGTCTTCCCCATAAGAGAGATGCTCCAGTCTCTTAATCATCTTTGTCTTCTGACATAGACTGTACTATAGCTTAGCATTCAAGGTGTTTGTTGCTTTTCCTTACTTAGATCACTGTCATGCTGCTTCCCTCTCTTTTGAAGAGTGTAACAGCTTGCTGTTTTTTCAGTGTGTCATCTGCCCCTCCAGAGGCCGTACAGTAAACAATGTACTTGCATGGGTAAAAAGGTTTGGCACGTAATTTCTACATCCGTGAAAGAAAGGGAGTTTTCTTTATTAGCTGAGGCTTAATTCAATGTACAAATCTTTACCTGTCTGCCTTATGAGAAAGAATTTGTGTGTTCCAAGACAACTGCTTTCTTCACCAGGTCTCAAAGATGCATTTTTCTCTATTATCTATTTCTGGCCAGAAGGATCTTCAAATGCTTCCTTTCAAAAAATAGAACTATCCTTTCTGGTTAGGTGGTACTCCAGGCTGGAGCTGTAATGTGAGATTACCTGGTTGCTCAGTAGAGTAGCTTTCATACATTCTGAAGAAGGACTTAATCCATCTTTACTTGGACAGAAATTCTCCTCAATGCCAAGTTTCTTAAGATACGAGAGGAAGATGTCTGCTGTCCATTTTTGAATACTGTATTGGTGTAGAGCTGGCACACTATCTGGAAGCAGTTTAAAAGGCATAAAACAGAAAGCTGCAAGGGAGATGCAGGATTTAAGAGTGTTGGTCTTGTGCACAGTGCACCGCTTCAAAAGAGAAGTTAAAGAATACAGATTTGCTTAAAGTGGTGCTTTTCAGGTCTCTCTGTCACATTCTTGGAAAAGTTTCTCTCATTTCATACTTGGCTATGAATCATTTGTTCATATTATAACTATTAATATTAAAAAGGCAGGCTGGAAACTTGAAGTAGTCTGTTCTCTTAAGCTTTATTCAACATCTTGCCTATCATAAAGATGGCCCCCTCAAAATTTGGTTTCTATTATTATTTCTACTGATCTAGTTTCTTACCTTGTCAACTTCAAATGGAGAGCAAGTGATGGGGCTTTTATTTCAGAAGATAGAACATGAAGGTTTTTTTTAAGGAAGAAAATGTCAGAGTAACAGTTCATTAATTTTGAGTTAATATACCATGTTCCAGCTGTGGATACCTGTTCTGGACTCCAATATGTTGTCAAATTATTTCATTATCCAATGTAGAAATAGGTTGCCTTTAATGCATCACTGTTCTCAGAATTACTAGGCTACCAAACCTACAACCAAAATATCTGCTTTTTTAAAATTAGGGTTACTTCAGCATATGTTAATTACTGTATATCTTGGTCTTTCCTGGAGAGACTTCAGTAGATCACATCCATTTTCAGTCAGACCTGCAAAATGAATAAATCTAACCACTATATTCAGAAGAAGCAACCAGCTACCCATGGGTATGACCCTTTCTTGTAGATGAATGATTTTTTTAGGTAGCCATTTCTTTTGCCTAGCATTCTTCAGTGTGACAGTCTATTGGATTTAGACAGTTTCCTTCTTTACACAGGTCCTTGAAGAAGCAGGGGTGAATTAGGCTTTCATATGTAATAAGGCTTCCTGATAAATCCATGTCTGGAAGAAAAACCTGGCAAAACACCTAATGTTATTTAATATTAATTTCAACTGTCATCTACTGTATCTGATGGCTGTCACAGGCTCTCTGTTCTGTCACTCTCCTTAATCTTTGGTTATTCAGGTAATTGATACTGTGCTGTTTCAAACCAGTGATTAAACAGCTGTTTAGCCAGTTCTGGTGTTCTGCAGTGTTATTGAGCTGTTGAATTTGCCTTTGGAAGATCAGGCATTCTTACTTGCTCTTGGTCTGCTTCTGCTTTTCTTGAGCTGCCCACATTAGTGTTCTGCTGCAAGTAGCCTGAAAACATGAGACCTACTGGACAAATGTCTTGAACACTGCTTGCAGTTTGTGTTGGTGGCCATATCACATCTGGCTATAAGCTAGAGGTCTGTGCTAAATCCATGTCTTCCTTGAAATATTAGATTTCCACTGTGCTTTGCTACCAAGTGAGAAAATTATTTGCAGTGTGAAGGAAATAGTTCAAAATTTTGAATATTTCTGTTGCCTGTATATGCTGCAGCTCATAAGTTAAATGCCTACATGAAAGTCAATTTTAAATATTCTAAAAAACATCTGACTTGGTTTCTGTATTAGGAGCAGTTGAGACATAATAAATATTTCTTTAGAATTAAAACTTTAGTCATTTTTTGGTAGTATTTCTAGAAGGATTTGACTTCTTAAGTGGCTTGCCCAAATACACTAACACAAGCTAAAATGTAGTTTTGTCATCCTTGCTGGAATGGGCTGCTTTTTGCCTCCCTTCAAAAGCAAAGGTTCTTTGATTGCTCTTGAAATTGGTGATCAGAACCCAAGGAAAGTTTAAGATCAAAGACTCATGCTTTCTAAAGTCAGCTTACAGCAGACATTATAACAAGGAGCAGTTTTTACAAAGAGCTGAGATGTATCTTGCAGCAGACTTGTGTAAAGTTTTTTTGCCTGTGCTTCAGTTTTATTCCTGAATATAGGGCCTCAAATGGAACAGTGGGAAACATTTTTGGCTCAGACTATGGAAAGTGGGTTTCCAGGCCAAGTGGTTAATGATTGCACCAAAGTAATTCAAAGTAAGCCTTCATTTGCAGAACTATTAGCTAACACAGTGACTGAAATGGCATATAGGAATATCCTGCTGTTGCAGTAAAACAGAAGGTTGTCTGGCTTGTGAAATGCCTAACTTTCTGCAAGCTTTCAAATTCATGAGTTTCTCAGAAGAAAGCTGTTAAATGAATCTCAGAAAAAGATGTATTGGAATGAGAAACTGTGTCTCCAATAGCTTTTTGTACAAGACTGAAACTCCATAACTCTGATTGAGAGTAGGAGACAAGATGAAAGTGATTTTTATTCCTCTCCCCCCTGCCGCAGTATTGCTTGAGGGAAATACGAACTGATGGGCCTTAGACATTGTCAGAGCCCAGGCAGCAAAGGTTTTGTTAACTGTTAAACTTGTTCAGAGGGAATACAGTTTGAAAAAAATTTCAGCAGCTGGATTGAGAGGAAGCTGTCTGCTGATTTCTGAAGATGAGACCAGAAGCTGTTACGTCAGTGTGCTGGCTGGGTGCTGCATAAACATAATTCTTGGAAGAAGGCACATAAGATTAACATTTAAAACTACTAAAGTAATTTAGTAGTCTCCTACCTAAGGAAGCTTTTGTCCTCTTGTAAAAGGCAATGATGTATTCTCAAAAGGTGGAAAATCCAACATAAACCCTGAAACTTCTTTTTAAGAATTCACATTTTTTTCACAATCTGTCTCCTGCTTGTGTGTTTGGTTTGCTTTCCCGTCTGTGTATTAACCTTACCCATTCTCTCCCCTAAACCCTGAAACTTCTTTTTAAGAATTCACATTTTTTTCACAATCTGTCTCCTGCTTGTGTGTTTGGTTTCCCGTCTGTGTATTAACCTCACCCATTCTCTCCCATTTACTTAATAACAGGGCTTTTCTGCTTATCTAGATAATTAAAAAAACAACCAAAGAAAAGCTTCTCAGCAGAAGGGTCTCATCCCCCTTCTCTCACAAGCTGTTTTGTTCAAAGTATGACTGTCATACATTCTCTGGATTAAAAAAAAACCCAGAAAGACTTCAGGTCTTACCAAACTAGAGAAGGGGCTTAATTGTAGGAATAACTGTCAGACTTGCTCATATCATACAACTTAATATCAGGTATAAATTGTATGTATGGCTTTTACAGAGATATGTTTTGGGTTTCTTGTATTTATTCCATCAGTTCTAGATTTAAAACGATATGTTTACACCAGAGACTGTATGAGTATGCTGTATAGTTATTCCAAGTCTGCTAATCTTCAAACATGAAATCACTAATGATTACACATGTAAATTTATGTGTGTAGGCTGTACAGTTTAGGCTGTACAAAACCAAAGTCTGCCTAAATTACATATAAGAAAAGCCCATAGCTCCAATTCAGGTGCTGAGTTCTAAAATAGAGTGGGTTTTTTATGAAAGTGACCATTTTCAGCAGTGATCTCTCTAGTTTTGCTTTTACAGTAGACTCGGACACTTTGAAAGTCTTAGATGTTGCATCCTAATTTTCAGGTGAAACAACTTGTAAAGTTTTCTGCTCAGTTCTTGATTGAAAATACACGCATGCACACAGGCCTAGTTCCAGGAGCACTTCCAGGCCAGTTAGCATATGAACACTCTTAAAAACACTGTACCTATTTCTCTATGGCCCAACAGTAAGAGCATCCCTGTTAGGCTAATGTGCTTGCAAGGCCAAATTCTCTTAAATCTGTTGAAGATTAAAGTGTACTGTTGAAGATTGAAGTGTACTGAACAAAACTTCAGCAGTCTGAGAAGGACTTTGGCTTCATAGAAATGTGTATTTCTTTGGAACTCCAAATGAGTGAGGCGTGAATGTGCTTCTCCATAACTTCCTAGTGTTTCCTAACTTTTGCTCACATTGCCTTGAATGTTCCTGTTTGTGTAGGGAACTAATACTTGAAATTGCTTTTTTAAAAGTATATTCCAATATAAGTGAAGGTTTACATTTTACAGAAGCACAAGTATCTTAAATTTTCTTAGCCTTGCTATAGCTTTGGGAATAGTACAGCTTGGCATAGATTCAAGAAGGTAAGGCAGGCATAACACTGAACCAGTGAAAGACTGGGTTTGTTGTTTCCTATTTTATTGTTTTGGCACAGTAAAAGCATAGTTGCAGATGCCAAGACTTAGGGGGTTTTTAAAAAAATATCGGGGAAAAAAAGTGACTTGCCACTGCTGACAGTTCTTCAGAAATTATGGCTTAGCGATAGATGAAAAACTGGTGTTAGACCTTTTCCTTTTCTGTATGGCTTTGTGCTGATATGACTGTCCCTACTTTCACTACTTTTTTTTTTTTTTTCATTGCATGAACCATGTACCTTTAGTTTAGCAGAGAAAACCAGGGAGATGATGGCACATAAATACCTTATTTCCTGGCTACTTCTCCACACATTCCAAAACCAATAGAAGATTATAAAAGTGCCCATTTCAAGCTAGAAGTGGGATTTTGTGCATCTTCAGGAAAGCAGTGAGTTACCAGAATAACTTAGGCCAATCTAAAATGCAGTAACTTCATAGTGCCTGAAATACTATGGGTGTATTTCAACTGGAACTTGGGTTCTATAAAAGATAATACAGGTTTTGGATTTAAATGTCTGGAAGCTGAGTCAGGGTACAGTAACTTTTATAGCAGTGTCCTTCTGATAGTTCTTCATGCTGCCTATTGTTCTGCTTTTGGTGTAAATACCAAACACAATTTCTGAGCAGTCCATAAGATCTTACTGCTGTGATTTGCACATATTATTAGTTCCGAAAATCATTGGGATTTTTTAACGTCTTTTGAAGAAGAAATTTGTGCAGAGATTTTTTCCATGTTTTTAGTGGAACCTATGAGAATTACTGTACTGCTGTGGCTGCTTGTGTAAATCTTGTTAACCATAAGCTGGTGTTTTGGTGATTTTATTTCATATAATGCAGTATTAAATAGATCAAAATAAAAGTTTCCATTTTACCAGGGGAACATGAATGTGGCAGCTCTACTCAAAGAAACCTTACCGTCCAGGAGGCAGCTGCATATTTAAAAGTAAGCAAATGAGTTATTTTTCATTGATTGTATAAAGATCTGTATAAGTTACAATTAGTAAGGCCTGTTTTCATATCTACTGTATTGACTAAAATTTGACATAGTATTGAATATTATTTGGAAATGATCAGAACTGATGACTTTAGTACATGCTACATATGGTTTTTATTTGGGGATGTAGTGAGCATTTGGGGAGAGGGAGGGTAAAAGAAACTGACTTAATTGCAATGAAAGTGTAGCTAGTAGTGCTTCAGTGACATGCAGAGCTTTTATCTCTTTCATTAAAACACCAGGAGATGATTTGGATTGATGGAAATAGTTGACCAACATGAAAATAATAAATTTATAATACTCAAATATGTAGTTTTTTCTCTGGAAATCACTGTATTGTTTTTTGAGACTAGTAGAAAAAAGGATAGTGTTTTCCTTTCTTTGTGGAGAAAGGTTGATGGGTAGATCTGTGCAAGCAGCCTGACAGGCAGCAGCTGTTTGGAGAGGCTATTCATTGATTCTTTAAATAGAAATGGTCAAAAAAAGGCCTTTTTGTTAATTTGATCACTGTGCAGTATTATGAATTCCCACTCTGTTATTCCCCTGCCTCACTCCCCAAATAAAAGATGACTCTTGCCTTGTCTTGACAGCTGTAGGGTTTATTTTAGCCCACGTTGGTGTACCCTTCAGTGGAAAACTACTTGAAGCTTTTAAGAGGGTAGAGAGTGTAAGATTTTTTTGATGGGATGGGGAGGAGTTAAACTGATGTATTTAATATACAAATGTGTAGAAATTTTACATTTTGGCAAATGTGTATGTAATAGACAAAAAGGGGCAATGCTTTAGAGCATCCCAAAGAAGCTGCTGACACTGGTTTATGGTTTGGCAATAATAATCTCTGTCTGTTAAAATCAGTCCATTGTGGAAAAAATGACGGTGATGCCCTAGAGCTGATTGTCTTGCCTATCTGTTATGCTGAAAGAATGACATAACTGTTTACTGTTACCATAACTGGTTTAGCTCTGCTAGGAAGCTCATGTTTAATATGAAAAATTGTTGCTTTGTAGGAAGTCTTATTTAACCGAAGAGTTGCTTTGCAGAATTTGTGTGTTCAGTGGTAAAATTTTGGTACTTTAATCTCAGAGGTAAAATAAAACTATTACTCTCTTCTCTTAAGTACTTATGCTTGGATTCTAAGCCAATATGAGGTTCAGAGGAAATATGAAAATAAAACTTTTTGGGGACTATAATTTCAAATACAACAGTAACTTCCATTTTCACTTTTCTCTTTCTGCAAAAGGACATGTTAAATGAGCTACGGAGAAGCCTTAGCTCAGATAGCAGTGAATGTTATCCTATTAGAATTGATATCAAATAATTTTTTTAAAAGGCAGTGTAATGATGTCATTTCTTGATCTACAAATACTGGATTTTTTTTTCAAAATATCTGTTAAAACTGTGTTTACTCAAGCTTCTTAAAAAAGAACGGAGCACGGAACTGCTTTTATAGGAGGCATTTCCAGCGGAGTTCGGATCTAGTTGAAGTTTCACTCTCGGAGTAGATTTCCAGTGATCGCCGCCTAGTGGCTGAATAGTTTTTGCTTATTCTAGGTTAATGTGGCTTGGCTTTTCAAATAGTCCTCTGTACTGTTCCCAAATAGTTTGAGGGGTGCTGATGAGTCTGGGAACTGCATGTAGCACAAATAGATTTACTTTATGTAGTGAACACCTACTGAAGATCTGAAGTATCAGGAACGAAACAATATAGTTTTGACTACTGATCTGTACAGTATCTCAGCTTCATTGGCATGATAAGTCCCTGGTTATTTATGAAATTACTGATTAATATTGTATTTTGACAGAATTTAGATCCAGAATATGAAAGTGTACTTAACACATCATTACAATGGATCTTGAATAGTGGAGAAGATGTTGGCATAAAGTAAGTGGTATTTATTTCTTGATTTAATTTCTTCTAAGAGAATGCGTAGTTTTTCATTTCATAAGTACTGTATGTTTTTTAATAGGTGTCTCAGCAATGACCCTAATGAGATGGATGTCACTAATGTGACAGATGTGAAGTATCTGGAATCCACTAGTCCAAAGATGTCTTTCAGGTGTCGTTTTCGCCGTGCGTTTGTTAATGTAACTCACAGATTATCAATATTGCTTTGGGGTAAGTTAATAAAACAGCCTTTTTTTGTTGTAACTCGTATTTATCTAAGTGCATGGGGAAAAGAAGTTTAGCGAAAGTTTTTATTCAGCCATAAAATTTGGGATTTCTATTGGTATCTTGATTAAATTTGGGTTTGATATGCATTTCTGTTGTACCACTGTATTTCCACACTGGTTGTTATAATCTGCTTCTTTAGTCAGCTGAACATATTCATTCTTTGGGAAATCTTTTTCCCTGCCAGAGCAATATCTTGTGTTTTTCAAAAGTTCCATATTGAACTGATCAGAAAAAGGAAATTGTTCAGTAAAAAGATTATAGCCTTAATTTTGAGGATATTTCACTGTTGGCCAGGAAGTTTAAAAAGTAACTGCAGAAAAGATGATCTGGGATACTGAGCTGTTCTTAAAATAATTAAATGCTTTCCTGGAAGTAACTGCTCTTTCAAGTCAAAGAGTTTGTGTTCCTGTGTAAGAGTATAAGATACAGACAGCAAGTACAGTGTATTTCACTAGCTTTGGAATGTACAGTGCTTGTTAGGTAGTTCAGTATACTTCTGAAGTATGCCTTGTAAACTCTGTTAAATATCCAATACTCTAATACTGCTTAAAGTGTATTATGCATGTTAATGCAGGTGTAGCAATGGTTTGGGGAGTCTTACACTACATGAAATACCGTTGGGCAAAAGAGGAAGAAGAAACAAAGCAGATGTATGATATGGTGGTGAAAATCATAGGTATGGCATGTTCAGTTGTGTCTGATGTATCTGTATCATCTTTGTATAAGCTTTCAAAGTACCGTTAATTAATTCAGTTGTGTTTCTTCATGTTTACTAGTTGTCACGCTGTTAAGAGTTCTTGGTCCAGTGTGATCCATGTGTTTTGTTTCTCTTTTTAAAAAAAACAAAAAAACAAAAAAACAAAACAAAAAAAAAAACAAAAAAAAAAAAAACAAAAAAAAACCACCCATCTGTTAAACCTAATCAAAGCTTTTGACATAAAGCTTGTAATTGTGAATTACATCAACATGGCTATAAAGTTGCCATTGACTTGATAGTTTTTTGTCCTACCGTTGAATACAAATGCAACATTTGTTTACTGAAGTATGATGGCATGTTGCTTTCTGTATCTGTTTCTTCAGCTAACTTCAGTTAAAATATCCATTCCAAAAATGTGTAGTAGCTCTCAGTACCATCCTATGGTTTTTCATAGAAAAAGCAGCTTTTTAGTTAATTACTTTGACCAGACGTTATTTTGGCAAAATAGTATGCATAACTGAGATCTGAAATCCCCTCTTTCTACTTGAAGGCATGGTGTTAGCACTGGGTTCTCTTTGTAGTATTTCTGTTTGTAGTCTTGTAGTCTTACTTAAGTTGTTGTACTACTTTCGTTTATGGTAGTCATGATAAATACAGAGATGGTAGAGGAATCAGAACTCTTCCGTTTTAACCATGTGCCTGCCTTTTTTGTCTGCAAATCAAGTTTTGTTGAGGTGGAAGAAAGGTGCTTTATTTTCAAAGATGGCCATCTTTGCTAACACTTAAAAATTACCAATCAAGAGTAACTGTAAGAACTGTCTTCCTTTACTTCAAAATTATTTGGGATACCTAGATACACTGTTTGGTTAATTTGCCTTAAGAATGGTTTGGAGAAAACAATGTTTCAAAATGCCAGGAAAACCTAACTATTGAAATTGGCGTGTTCAGAGTAGCTGTTAATTGCCAGAAGTGATGCATTTCTTAATGTTTGCATGAGCTACATAGTTATCAGTTTGGTTTCTTTGTTTGGTGTCCTCAGATGTTCTAAGAAGCCACAGCGAGGCGTGTTCAGAAAATAAAGAGTTACAGCCTTACATGCCAATTTTACATGTGCGAGATTCTTTAATACCACCGCAGGACAGGTACGTTCTCACTAGAAGTACTGAAGGGGGGGAAAACCAGTAAAAATAAATTGGTCAGTTAACTTAATTTCAGATAGAACTTAATTTCCTAATAGATTGCACAGTGTAGTATTTTGGAGTTTCCTATTGCAAAGGTGGAAGGAAAAGCATTGGATTTCTCTTACATGGTGGATGTCAACCATGCAGGTTGTTGTTACGCTAACTTTGTAATTCTTGCTTTAATTTTTAAGGAGGAAGATGAATAAAGTCTGGAATAGAGCAGTTGACTTTCTTGCAGCAAATGAATCTAGAGTTCGTACAGAGACACGAAGAGTAGGTGGTGCCGAGTTCTTGGTTTGGAAGTGGATGCAACCTTCTGCAGCGTGTGACAAAATTTTAGTAATACCATCCAAAGTGTGGCAAGGCCAAGGTATTGAAGATATATTTTGCAGATATAATTGTCTTAATTTCTGCATCTAACTTAAAAGTGGTACTCTGTTGCTTGAAAACAAGCATGAAAGGCTTGTTGTCTTTCATGCATTTAAGGATTGTTACAATCTGTCAGTGCTATTTCTCTATTATCTTCTTCTATGAACTTACCTTTGTTGCACTGTGTCTGCCTTGTTTTCAAGGGAAATGAGCTTTTTTATTATAGCTACTGCAGATATATGCAGTGGGTATTTAGTCAAAGTGAATTACTGCTTCCTTTTTGTGAAATAAAAAAATGCTCTTTAGTTGGTCAAATTCTGACATGCCTTACTGTTAGTAATGTAATTGGTTGTATATGACAGCAGGTAAATTGTATGTTGCAGACTTAAGTTTCCTGCTGTTAAGTTGCCAGTAAGCTGCCTAAAGACAAAGTTAGGAGGAAGAGATAATTATTTTAAAAGGGAAAGTGCAGGACAAAAGACTCCTCAACTAGGAAAATGTGTATTTGGAACATCTAATAGCGTTAGATGTTCTAGCTTTGTCATAAACGTTTTTCTACACTGCATTTGTTTTTCAGATTGTGGTGTAAAGCATTTGCTTTAATAGAGAAGGCAGTTTGTCGTACATGGATTTTTCAGTGGCCTGTCACTTTGCAGTTTTATCATGAAACCAAATTGCAAGAATCTAGTAGGTTTGCAGTTGTGTGTTTGCCGTGGTCATATTTTCCTGGTTTGAAAAACCTTTCTTGGTTTTCCTTTCTGTTTTTCTTCAAACCTGCTAAGCTTCAGGTTTTGGTTTGATCTTTTATTTTGGTCAACTAAAAATTGAAACTATAGGACTTGAATTCTGGTTTGCAATTTAAAAAGAATGGTCATTTCTATCTCTGCCTGAGTGTGAAAGTAAGTAATATCATTATATACTTCTCAAACTTACACTACTGGTTCTAGCATTACATTTCTCATTTTAAATAATTCATTGGAAATGACGGCTGCTTTTTAAAAAATATCATGTGAATGCTACTGCAGGCTTGAGGTTCTGTTTGCAGTAGTAGTAATGTGGCATTCTGCTGTGGCAACTATATTGCTTGATTTCTCAATTTCTCAAAGTTTTCGTTAGTAAGATGTGTAGGTGAACTTTATTCCAGGAGCTGTGGAATCTTTTCTTTCCAGGTAGGGATGTGCAAGTGCTTTAGTTGCAATACAGAAATTATGGGTTTTGTCAACAGCTGTTTCTGTTCCATCTCTGTAGTACTGCCAGGATTGAATTTCAAGCACTTAAATTGAACACAGCTTCTGCAAGCTATATATGTATTATAAATTTGAATCTTCTACATAGTGTATTATTCAGTGCATGCTGGGAAACATCATGCTCTAGTTTCAATTTGCTGCTCATTTGCTTTCAGTTTTTCTTGTCCTGTTTGGTTGCAGTATAAATCACTCCATGACATTCTGTCTGTCTTGTATCAGAAATCGGATTGGATTCTCCTCACCTGGAGATGCCTCAGTGTGTGATATCTCAGGTGGTGTTTTGCTACCTGTAATGTATATTCAAGACTGTAAACAGAACAGTGGTCTCCAAAACTTCCTAGAAAGACTGCTGTAGTAGCTATTGTTATGTACCATCCCAGTTTGAGCATCTGATACCTACTTCAGCGTCTTGCAAATGTGGACAGAACAACTTGATCTCTCAGCTGTGGCTTTTATCTGTATTTTGCTTAGAGTATGTACTACGACTTCCTGTTTTCTATTGCATAGGAGGTATCAAAATCCATTCTGTTTCAGTGCTTTTAATTGCAATTTTTCTCATTTTCTTGTTACGTTGGAAGTTTAGTGAAGATCTTTGAAGAACTGAAATTGCATATTTCGGCTCTAACAGAAGGGTGTGGAAATGGGGTGGCTGAAATGACAATGGGTTATTTGGGCTCGTGACAGCAGGCAAAGGCAATTTTCACATGCAACATCTCTTGCTGTTTTGCACTCCTTGTGTTCAAATGACTGTTGAAAATAGTTCTGTTGTGTAAGTCTCATGCTTTTTGCCCAGCTATTTCTTTCCTGATGTTAGGAATTATACACGTATGTTCTTTTCTTGGAGGTATACATTAACTGGAATTTAAGTTCACACTCCACTACTGAGGTTTGAATGTAGAAGTTCATAAATTTAGATACTCTTCAAGACTGCTATGCCCTGAACAGGTTCAGTATACAGAAAATCATAATGAATTCTTTGGTTTGAATCTTGTGAATAAATTTCAAGCTTGCAATTTTTTAGCAGTCTGAGATCTGGTAGTGCTCTGTAGCAGATACCTGAGGACCTACAATTGAAGAAGAAACCCTTTTCAGAGAGGCCTGTGAGCATATAGAGGGATATCCTTGAATGATAGTGTGCATTTTAACTGTGGGACCTGTAGCTTGCCTGAGATCTAATGCCTGCTGTCTGTTAGCAGTGTGTTAAAGCATCACTGTGACATTTTTTCCAGTCCTTCAGGATGCAACCTGTGTTTTCACAGTTTGGTTTGGTTTTATTTTTTTTCTGGATCAGAATAAATTCTGGTGCCATCCCTTTGAAATATTACCTACTGGATACAGTAGTTGTACTTCTTAAAAAGAAAAGAGTAGGTAAGCTAATTGTAGGATGGACAAATTGTAGGATGTTTTGAAAACAATGTACAAGAGAATAGTCAATTGAGAAACAATCTTGATCATGTCAAGTGATTTAATTAAATCAGTGGAGAGGACCCTACCATTCTGGTGTGTTCAGTTTGCTTTTGAAAGAACAGATACAATTGTGCTGTCACACCTTTGATAACTGGAGCTATGAAGAAAACTAGGTAGGCAGGGCTGCAGTGTAGCTAAGATGACAGTACAAGCTAAAGTTCCTTGACAGCCCTGGAGATGAGATAAAGAGGTTCTCTAAAGTACCACATCTAGGATGATATTTCATCCTGCAGCATGGAAGATAACCTGTTACCTTTTGTGAATGACACCCCTCCTCCCTAGCTTGTGAGAACATAATCCTTTCTCTGAACAAAAACAAACAAAAAAACTCCAAACCGCAATTAGACTCTGAACTATTGCAAGAAAACAGGATTTCATGCTGCTTGTAAAATTCCATATCCATCCTATGTTTGTCTTCTATAGCTGAATTAACTATATTGAACCTCAGTTCAACCATACTCTTCTCATTGGTAAGGTACTAATTTCAGTATCTTCCATGATGTGTGAAAGGGCATCATTTCAATATTTTCAGGTCATTGTTTTCTTTTTTTTTTTTCTTGCCTTTGATAAGAAGGGTTAGTACTTAATAAATTGCAGTGATCTGTGGCTTAACATTGAAAAAAACTGGTTTAAGAAACATGGCTACCTATATTTGATGCAAGTGTTCAGCCTTATCAGGTTCATCAAATTCACATCTACTGATCTTTTGGGCTGTCTTGTAGCCCGTGGTGATGATACTTGGGAATTCCTTTAGCAGTAATATATTAGTAATTCAAGGGGCATAGAAAGCTGCACTGCAATCTCTTCAGTGTTCATTTTGAAGCCAGTGCAAGAGACACTTCTTCCATCATAGACAATAATAAAGGAGTTGACAAAAGCATGTGTGTTTTGCTGCTACTGCTCTTCAGATCTGGAATGATACATTGATACTCAGTTTAAGGTAGTAAAACAAAGTACATTATGAATGAAATAAAAAGTAGGTTCCTTTTCTTGAAAGTGCTCAGTAATCCCCAAGGGGAATTTATAAAAGTCCTGAACTTTTTCCCACCAGTGACTTACTGCACAAAGTTGTGTCTCTGCTTTTCTACTTCATCTCTACCTTTTTATCTTTGTCTTGTAAGCATTACTCCTCAGAACTATGTAGAAAAAGGTGTGAGATGCTTAGTTAACCAGTGTGTAGCTTATACTGTTGTCCTGCAAGAATGTTTGCTTATGCCCATATCAAGAATATTTTGTATGCTCCACACCAGTGTAACTTTTCAAATAATCTGTACTCTGAATCAGTATTCTGAACAGCTTTGTCACTGAAACAACTTCTTTTGGGGGAGGGGGAAAATCAGTTGTTACAGACGTGAAATGAAGTTCAAGGGGCATCAGTTAACTATGCTATTTTCAGTGTTGCTGTGTAGGTACAGCGTTAACTTGCCTGTGTCTTCTCTACTCTCTCTTTTTAGTGCCATTTCTGATATACATATTAAGGGTTATTATTGTTCTGGCATTAATTTCACACTTCACTGATTTCCATGGTAATTTTTTCCCTTATACACGAAAAGCTCCATCTAAGTTGCAAAAATTACTTTTAATTTACCATTATTTTGAAAAGCTCTTTTGAGAAAGACAGAGTTCATCTTTATTTTCATATGCTGCACTACCCTGGGCACACTTCTCTACTGGTAGGATGTTACATTAAGTTAGAAGCAGTTTAGTTTCGTGCTGATGGTGGGCTCTGGCTGAAGTTATCTCAGTAAGCACCTGACATCTTCCAGTCAAAAGGACATCAAAGTTATTAGAAACTGTAACAGGTAAAGCTTGGTTTATATAAGTAACTACACTAAAGGATGAATTCCCCATTTAGTTACTTTTGGATAGCTCAGTGGTTTAGCTGCTTCCATAAATATCAGTATGGATTTTTTTTTAGTTCATAAACAGCTTGCAGAAATGTTGATCCTCTTGGTCTAGGATCTCTGCAAATAACCTCACCATTCTTTATCCTTGGATTAAAACCATGTGCTGAATAAATTTAGTTGTAAACAATCAGCACATAATTTCCTCAACCCCACACCTTTTCAGGTCCAGGTCCATGACTAGGCCACCCCAGATCACCTTCTCCAGTATGGTGTGGTGCCCCAGTGTACAATATGCTGGTGACATTTCACCCTACCCTTGATCTGCTGGAGCCAACCTCCATAAGTAAGGTAAGTCCATGTATTTTTCAATGTTGCTTAGTTCTGTAAAGTTTTTGTTGTATACCCTATGTATAATTTTTAATAAGGGGCAAAAAACTTTACAAAACCATGTGCTGTTGAAAAAGGACTTGTCCTTAAACTATAGGCAGCTTAGAGATAGATGCAGTGTCACCAGCATATTTGGAAATCTGTTCCCAAGAGAAAAACATATAGTTGTTACAGGTGTTGGTGACTTGCACTCTGTGTGCATGTGTATTCTTAATAAGAACATTTCTAGTTATTTGGGGAACTTGCAGTAGGCTTGATATTAGAATTGGAGGCTACCTTTTCTAATTTCTAGTTGGTAATTTTATTTTATTTGTCTTGGGAATTTACATAAGAAGAAGGTTTTCTATGCAGTATTTCCAGGCAGTGAATTTTCTCTTGGTTAGTGCTTGTCTTTCACAAGCAGTGTCTTCCACATGACTTATTTTGTCTGTGTGATACGGTTTTTGTTTGGGTGGCATACAGAAGAGCAGCAGTGTTCATGTATTTTGGATGTACTTTTAAGATTTAAAAAGATCAGCAGTAAGAAGCACAGACATCTGCCCGAAACGGACACTTCTGACCCTTGGAATGTAACATCTTGAATATGTCAGGTTTTTCTAAAGTAGGATTGCTAAGGAGAAGCATTAGCAGCAGTTTAGAACATAATTTTTTGCTGTTGAGATTTTAATCTTATGTTTAAACTCTTGACTCTGCTTATCTCAATCTTCAAAGTAAAATTTCCTTCAAGCCTTGAAAGCTGTTTTACTAGGCTATCCCCTTTCATTTCCGCTGCTGATTTGTTGGCCCTTCTCAAGGCATGGAGCTGCCTTATCTGAATCTGAAGTGCTCCTTGATTCCTTTTCTCATGGTACAGTCTTTGCTTGTGACTCTCACAAGTAGAACGTGTGAACGTTAGAGAAGTTAATATTTATTTTAGGATTTCAGAATGTATTTCATGGCACTGTTTAGCTTTGAGTTACTCTGTTATTTTTGATTTTCATTTTTCTTCTTTTATCTGTTTTATCCTCTGGTATGTTTCATTTCAGCTTTTTAGAAGCTTCTGATCATGTGAGATCATTTAGGACGATAAAACCTTTATCATTGTAGAGCATTCTTGACATGTTACTGCACTACAAATGTAATGCAACATCCATCTTAAAGTCTCCTTATTTATTAGCCAGATGGGCAGCAAATTGCCCCAATAGTGGAAGAAATTAAAATTTCATCAGGCAGTGAGAACTGTATGGTTAACTTCCAGTTCCAAAAGTTTACTCCAGGTGTTGTGTATATCTGTCTTTTCATGGAGATGTAGTGCAAATCCTTTCTTTTCAAGTATATGGTATTTTTAAAAATATCCCAAATTCCTTCCATGTGGACTGGATATAAGAGAATGCCTTAAATGTAGAAGTTTTAAGTATAAAAAATTCAGCTAAATATGTTATGTTTTCTTCAGTGTGGTAGAAGGCTGTGCGAAACTAATTTGCTTGAATTCTTTCATATATGAAATCAACTTTCTTCTGAGCAAAACTAGAAAAGTATTAATGCAGAAAGTTGACATTTGTTACCTCAATGATATTATGCCTGTAAATAATTAGTATTTAATTTATTTTTCTTTCTAGCATTTCATCTAGATAGAAGAAATTCACCACCGAACAGCTTGACACCATGTCTAAAGATTCGCAATATGTTTGATCCAGTTATGTAAGTAAAAACAGTTATCTGTCTGTATTTCTGCATTCTTTTGGAAGAGTCCATTTCTTACCTCTGAGAGGGATTTGGAAGAAGTGAAGAAACATGAACATGTTGAAAAAAACAGGTTGTAAAAAAAAATGTTTCTCTTAACATCTATGAGAAGATATAAAAAACCTTAACCCTCTGTCTTCTGTCCTTCATTGTATTGCTTTGTGTCTTTGGCTCACTTCTTGAAAGATGTGGCATATAGTCAAACTATTTGGAGCAATGACTGATCTTTCTCCATTAATCAAATTTGTAAATGTTCAATTGTATCAACTGACAGAGGCAACTCATGTGGCCTGACAACAGATTGTAAATTTCTAGTCTTGTTCAATATTCTGAAGTATTTGGACAGCTACAAAGCTTGCATAGTTTGCATTTAAAATGCTGAATTGAAATAATTTATTACTTTATGGCACTAAGGCTGCCTAATTTTGAAGCAAATGGATTTTTGTAGTGGGAACAAATTAGTGCTGCCTACTGACTTCTAGTGCTCATGTAATTCTCATAATTCTGAAGTATGTACCGTGTATGAATAAGTAACAAGCTTTGTTTCATGTACCAAGAGCTAAGGAAAAATAATTAATTTTTTTTTGTAGTCTGTTAAGTCTTCGTCTGCTCCACTATTCTGTTATATCCCCTTTGGCTCTGGAGTAGATCATGGTAGGAGTTGGGAACTAACACAGAGGTTATGACAGATAATCCTGTATAAGCTTTGAAGTGTCTTTGTCCATTGTAAAAAGATACAGGGACTCCAATAACTTCTCTGGAGTAAATTATTCCTTAATGTGATTATACAAGGGAAAATTACAGATGCTGTGTCTAACAAGGGTACGTGTGAGATGCTACCTCAATAATACAACCCATTGATTAGGACAGGAAGTAAGGGAGGACGTCAGAGTATGGACACAAGTGATTGCAAAGTTTGGATGTATTTATTCAGCCTTTTTTCTAGCCACACTTAATTTAGTTTAGTTCCTTGCCTTATTAACTGAAAGGCTGTTGGTTAATTTAGATGAAGACAGTGTTACCCCTAGCATAGAGAAGTACTTCAAAAACCTTTTCTCAATGTCTTTAAGATTTAATGTCTGGTCAAAGACACCAGCTTCTGTGGCTTCTATAATAACTTTCAGGTTGCAGTAGGGTGAGCAAGACTGAAATTTCAAGGGTTGTTCTTGAAGCAAATTGATCCTCCTGTAGGAGGATTAAAACATGAGATTTGCAGAGAATTTTAAGGGACATCAACATCCTTCTTGTCTTTGCTTCAAAGAAGACTTTGTGAGCTGTATTGGTTAGTTTGAGTGGTACTGAAATAGTCACTGTAATATTTCTTGGTATGTTGTATTGGTTACTTTCCTGTTTCAGAATGTTAGCAGTTCAAAATGTCTGTTGTTAATGGAACTAATTACTGAGATGTTATTTTTGTCAGGACAGTCTCCCCTTTTAGCCTATATCTTTGCTGTAAGCGTCAGTGTTTTCAGTACTGACCCAGTCCGTGTCCAACAGGTGCATTAAAAAGCCCCCACATTTATAGACTAGGAGTTTTTGTGTTTTAGCACTTGTCTTTAGTGCCTATGTCCAGTCAGCTATTTTGAACATTGTGACTTCTAATACATTGACTTTTTGTAGACATTTTCTTTTGGAAGTTGACCTAGCTCCATTACTGGACTGCTGGATTACATTCGTAGTGGGCTACTTCATGCAATTCTCTATTGTACTCCCTAGTGCATTCTTCTTCTGTGAGCTGTCTTTCAGAGGACTGTGCCTTAAGGAAATAGTTCTTATCATACCCTTGGAATTATCTTAAAGAAAACACAAACAGAAATCCAAAGCCCTCAGTGCAAGACAAACCATATTATTAGTCTGCTTGTGTCATTAGAGGAAGGAGGCTTATGTTCTTGTTCCAGACCTGAAAGGGATGAATACTTTCAACCACCTAAAACATAGAATGTACCAGTGTCTGTGATTAGATTGTCAAGTATTGTTTTGACGTTTGCTGTGGATGCAAGGTATGTTTAACAAAACTAGTTTTAGCTGCTCTTACAGTGACTGTATACTAACAATAATTACTGAATTCCTTTCGGTGATTGCACCGGTAGCTGTTAGAAGCAGCCCCATGAAACAGGTCTTTTTTCTTGACCTGAGATTCATCTGGGAATATACTGGTTAACTTGTTTTTATTAATGTTAGCACAGCAAATAATCAGCTCTCTACTGCCAAAAGTCAAGGAGGAATCATATCAAGGGAACAAATTGTCCAACTTGTTCACTTGTACATTGTGAACCCTCACATCACAGCAGCAGACTTTGTTGTGTGTTCTAGACATTTACTATGCAATGCAGAAGCATGTTTTTTTAACTATTAGTCTAAGCACCACTTGGATGCTTAGAAAAAGCCCATTTTAGGACAACACCCCACCCCCCAAACAGAGGTTATTCCTTTTGATTTGTAGGGTTGAATTGTCTAAAGTGGACTGTAGGAGCCAATTTACAGTGTATTCAGTAGGAAAAGTACTTAATCTGTCCCAGAGACGTTTACCAGAAAATTATGTGAAGTTGCAGAGAAACCAGACTCAGTAGGGAAGTATGAGAATGTTGTGAATGTTTAGAAAAGTATGTAATCCCTTAAATCTTATATTGTTTGCCTAGGGAAATAGGTGATCACTGGCATCTAGCAATTCAAGAAGCAATCTTGGAGAAGTGCAGTGATAATGATGGAATTGTTCATATCGCTGTAGACAAAAATTCACGTGAGGTGAGTGTCCTTCCAGTACCATCTTAATACTTTGTTCATCCTTTTCAGCTGGACTTGCAAAAAACCCAAATCCCTCTTTCTCTTACTTAGGGCTGTGTATATGTCAAGTGTCTCTCCCCGGAGTATGCTGGAAAGGCTTTCAAGGCATTACATGGCTCTTGGTTTGATGGTAAGGAATGGGAGTTTATAACAAAAGATGGGTAGAAATTACCCATGGGTGCAGCTGGAGTTTTTTTAAATGGTGAAATGTTTTGTATCTAAAGTATTGAGCCGTTAAAAAAAAAAAAAAAACAAACTAATTTTGATGTAATGGCATACTTGTGTTTTACATCCCGAAGCAAAATGCAACAGTACTGAACTAGAAGGTTTCTCTTTTCCTGTTTCTTTGCCTCATAGGAAAGCTGGTAACAGTAAAATACCTGCGACTAGATCGGTATCATCATCGTTTTCCCCAGGCTCTTACTTGTAACACTCCACTGAAGCCATCAAACAAACACATGAACTCTATGTCACATCTGCGTCTTCGGACAGGCACAAGTAATTCTCAGGGAAGTTCCTGAGAAAACTTTCTACAACTGCTAGGACTGTTACTTGCAACAGGAATGTTCCTGTTTGGCCGCCGTCTTCCTTTTTTAGTGCTTTTTGTATGTAATACTTTAAAGAATTAAATAAAAGTTTGAATGTTCCAGAAGTCTTGTTTCCAAAGGGACTTAGCAATGAGGCAGTAATACTGAGCTGACAAAAAAGGAAAAACAAGTTGTTTAATGAAGTTTTCTGGGGCTATAGTAAACCGATGCATTTAAGTTTTGCATGAGGAATACCGATTTCATTATACATTTGCAGATGTGGTGATGTATTTTTGCACCAAGAAGTGTTTTTGCTAATACAAAAGCATGGAGAAAAGAAGACTTCCTGTATTTCCATAGTTTCCTGTGAAATAATCTTGTGGGTATTTTGTAACAAGCAACCTACAGTTCCTGATGGTGAATAAGTTAAAAAAAAAAATCAGTCAATATTAGTTTTTGTTGCTATATAAGAATCTTTTTCTGCAGCTGGGGTATGGGGAAAGTGAATTTGGCATTAGTGGTTGCATATCAATGTGAGGGAAGATGAACTGATTGCGGATGTACTGGGTTTTGTATATAAATGTAAATGCTGGTGGTGGCAAAAAGGGTTGTGTTCTGTGAGGATGTCTGCGTCGAAGCAGCAAATAAGCTTCCTATTTTATTCAAAACCTATTGTTTTATATGGTTTTGGCTGTACCATGACAAGAGGCCAAATACTTAAAAATGTTGGCTACAGGTTAAATATCTTTTATAGGTTTTATATAAAATACCTGACTGATTTTGTGTGAAAGGTATGATACCAATTGTAATGAATTCAAATTTGTGAGCAATAAAGAAGCAATTGGCAGATACTGGACAAATATTTTGTGAAAAGCTGTATTTATTATTACAAGTGTCAGGGCTGTGACAAAATACCATTGGATTAAATGACTTCCCAGTATATTATAACATGTTTTAATTATCCATTTATGTGTTAAAATTTTAAAATTCCTTCCTTGCAACAATTTTGGCTCATGCAAACTAGTGCAGCTGACAGTAAATCTTGTGATTCCAAGCTTGTAAATTTACTAATGTTTACCTAGAAGTACAAAATTGTTGCTGAGAAGCTTAGTTACAAATCTAAGATTATTGGCTTTACTAATCCCCACTCCTACAACCATTTTACCTAGTTATCCAGCTGAACATCCTGTAGGAGGTGAGACTGGGAGCACACCAGTCCCACAAATTTTACTCACTTTACTTTGTAGATATGATGGATCTGCAGCATGAACTTGCACAAATAATGCACGTTTTTCTTACAGTTAAGTAAACATGATGCACACTATTCTGCAACAGGAAAATCCTATTGTGCCTTACCTTTGTGCTTTTGTGGGCACCATGTTTATTATTGGGGAGTTTGTTAACTGAAAAATTTTAAATCCTCGGTTTTGTCTCAGATGCTAATGAATGAGTATATATAATATATAATCAGCCACGCAGAATTCTACTTACCAAGGACAAGTACATATTTTTGATGGGTAAGTGGATTGTGCCAGGTCTGGTAGATTTTTGATGAGTTTTATTATATACATATATGTATATGTATAATATACATGTATATGTATTATATATATGTATATAAACTAATTTTGTTTTATTTGATGTGCATCATAGTGATTTGTTAACCTGACCTTAGTGACCCCATCTTGTGACCTGTTGCAAGAGTGAATGTAAAAATAGCTATGGCATTTTAAAAGGTCGCCTCAATGCAAATGCATCTATCTTGCTTCTAAGATATATTTCTTGTAAACACTGTACATTTTAATTGTAATATGTACTATTATGCAGCTTATTTTACCTTAAACTGTTAAGTTGACCGATATCCCTTCCTGCAAGACAGGGGAATATGTATAATATCTGAACATTTGAGAAAAAGCAGATGTTTGTTGTAACTTGTTACCCTATCCTGTAAAAACAAACAAAAAACCAAACCAGACTCGAATTAAAGGTTTATTAGGGGTTTTTATATGTGTCTCACCTTCTAGATATTTGGGTGTCTCTGACTCAAATGCTTTTCTTATCTGGGGTGGAGGGGGAGGTTGATTTGTTACAGCCTCATAACTAATTTTTAGTATTTGTTAGGATGTGAAGGTGCTGCCATGAGCTGACACAGACAGCTGAGTTTCACTAAACTGCCAGCTTGACTTTCGTCCTGATTTTGTACACAGGGAGTGCAGAGACATTACCTTGCTTCCTAAGTCATGGACGTGCCATGTTGTCTCTTCACTGTTAAAGGACAGGGGTGAAAAGCTTTAACCTTGTGCTTTCAGCCTCTTTCTTGTATTTTGAGGTACAAAGAGTCATGAAAGAGACTTTGGTAGAGAAGAGGTTGGCTTTTTTTCCTGTCATTATCTTATGCTATTTGAGAACTGTTTTAGTGACGGGTTGAAGGTTTGGGGGGTAGGAGGAACAAAGAATAATGTGTAAGTCCCTTATTTACATTCATTTGTCCCGCATACATGTACGTGTCCCGTGAGGACGGGGAGCAGGAAGAAGTTTGATGTCGTTCAGTTCCCTCCTTTCTGGAAGCTGGGCACGGTCGGCCCCGAGCGCTGCGGTAGTTTCGGGCCGGTGCTAACGCGAGGAGCGGGCTCCGGCTGGGAGCCGCGGGCCGGAGCCGCTGCGGCGCTGGCAGCGCTGTCCGCGCTCCCGGCCGGCGCCGCGCCGGCAGCTGAGGGTCACGGCAGCGCCGGGTCCTCTTGGCCGGGGCTCTTGGAACCGCAGGACCGTCTCTTTAAAGGGGCGAGGAGCCGCTTCGCCGGCCTGCCCGAAGCGCAACCTTTAACCCTTAAGGACAGAGCGCTTCGGCCGTGCCGCGGCGGCGGGACGGGGGAGGGTCTCGGCCCCGGGTCGTGCCGGGCGTGCGGCGGGAGTCTCCCGGCTCCATGTTCATATTTGGCGTTGGCCGCCGGTGCCCAGGAATTTCCCGTCATGCTCCCCGGGCGGCGGGCCCGTCACTGCGCTCCCGCGGGGCGGGGGGGCCGGGGCCGCTCGCTCGCTCCCTCGGGCCGCTCCCATGCGCGCTGCGCCGCCGCCGCTGCTCCCCGCGCTCTGCCTGGCGCTGGCGGCCGCCGCAGGAGCCGCAGGTAGGAACCGCAGGTAGGAGCTGCGCCCGGGCTCCCGCCTCCACACCGGCCTCCCTGCCGTGCCTCGGGGTGCCGGGGCGCGGGGGGCCGGGCCGGGCCGGGCCGCACCTGCCGGGGCTGCGGCGGGAGCGGAGGGGAGCGGGTCGGTGCTGAGGGGGACCCCGCGGGCCCTGCTGGCGGCCGAGAGGGGGGCTGGGGTCGGGGGTTGCTCGGGTCGGTCCCCGTGTCACCGAGCGAACCCCTGACAGCCCTCGTCACACCCGCATCCCGGCCGCATCCCGGCCGTGCCGTTCCCGTGGCCGCCGCAGCGTCTGGACCCTGGCGCGGCGCAGCCCCGGGCTCCGGTGTCCTGCGCGGCAGCTGGAGCTCCTGCCTCAAACGGGGTGCACAGCAGAATAGCTGGCTCGGGAAAGCCGCGCTTGACCAAGTGCGTAATGAGTGCAGTTCAGCCGCGATCCCCAGCTCGGTAAATTGTGCAGCGCTAGGTCAAAAAAGGAGCTTAAACTTCACAAATGAGCTGAGAATTTGGTTGTGTTTTTCTGAGGAAGCTCAGTGCGTTCGCTGACTGGGTTTGTTTGGTGTTACTCTTCTGACAGCTACAATTGATGCAAAGGATGAAGTATAATTTATTTCTTATGGCCCCCTTCCCAAGTTGATGTAGCTGTACTTGGTTAATCGTAATATTCCTGGAAACAGAAATGAGACTTAATTAAGCTTCCTGTAGTATTTGACAAATTAGCTATAAATGCTGTCTTTCCTGCTTGAGCTGAATTTTCAGTCATCACCCTCTTAGCTCAAAGACCGTCTGAAGGCACAGTGATCTCAAACAAGCATAGCTGTGCATTAAAAATGCCAAATCTAACAGTAGTTATCTACAGATAAGGCCGAATATCAACTGTTAGCTAGTGATAAATGCTGTAAGGTAGTCTTAGTGTTCCGACCCTAAACACAGCATTTAGGAAAGTATAGAGCCTTACATTGTATATGTCATGCTTTTAGTCTTTCTCTGTTGTTGCTATTAAAACTGAAGATGTGTTCTCTGGACAGACAGAAGTCAGAATGAGAAATCTGCAGTAGCCAGATACTTTGCCTTACTGATACGGCTCGCTTATGGCCAATCACCTGTAAATGGAACAGCGATCCCCACTCCCACTATATCATAGTGCCACTCATTTGAATCCAGAATTTAAGGCTTAGAATTTGTCCTGCTTATGTTCTTGCCCTTGCTGAGTAGACACAAGCACTTTCTGTCTTATTTGCTGATGATTCCCAACTTTTTGTTACGTTGCTGCGTGCCTTTGCAGTTCGTCATGATTCCTTGTCTGCCAAATTTGGTTGGTAACAGTGCCCTTTGAGTCTGATTCTGGGAGTAGTTTCCATGTGGCTTGTCATCTTAATCAGACGTTTGCTCATAGTTTCTAAAAGAATCTCCTGCCTCATTT